TCTTCAGAGTTTCCTGTCTGTCTTCAGAGTTTCCTGTCTGTCTTCAGTGTGTCCACAGTTCATTTTTTCACTCTGGGCCGTGAGAAGAGGCTGGTCCCTCACAGCCGGCTCCACCTGCCCACCCGTCCCCTGGATATAAACTTTGATGATGACGGACGGCTCTGGGTTCTGCTGGACTCCGGTGACATCCCGTTGAAAATGTACGCGCTGAGGCAGAACTCCTGGGAGGTAGGACTGGTGGGTTAATCCCAGCCTTTAACCTGTTCAGATTAAAGTAGTTCCTTTGTTGAGAAGTGACAACGTTAACATTTCTGTTTTGGTCAAACTTTGTAAATGACGTTAGTTGAGTATCCTGATGCTGCTCAATAATCCAGGTAGAAAAATCCAAAAGAGTTCAATCTGGTCCTCTGGACCTTCAAAAAACAAAACAAAGCAAAAAAATGTAGAAACGTTTCGTCTCTCATCCGAGAGACTTCCTCACCTCACAGCACCTCAGACTGAGGAAGTCTCTCGGATGAGAGACGAAACGTTTCTACATTTTTTTGCTTTGTTTTGTTTTTTGTGTTTTTTGACTTGAGAGGACCAGATTGAACTTTTTTGGACGTTAGCTGAGCTCAGAGTATGTTCTGGGTAGAAGTCTCAGCTACTACCACTAACATTTTGCTCAATGTCTATAAAATTACCGAGTTATGTCCATCTTTGTTGGGCGTGTCCGTCCAATACAACACGTCTAATAAGTGTTACAATGTGTTGTTGTCTCTAAACGACGTTCAGTCAGGTGGTTCGTTGGTTCTGAATCAGAAGAACTTCGTTAGTTCTGCCTGAGACTCAGATCTCTTCTGCTCCATCCAGCATGAAGCTGACCATCTGGAAGTCACCAGAGTGACTGAAGCCCTGCGGCCTCACTGGAGCACCATGAACGGTGAGTCACCAAGACTCGCTTCTTATCTGAGCTTAACTTCAGTATCTTCTAAGACCTGCTTGTTTATTCTTTAAGGAAAATTAAATTAAGGTGGAAATAAATTGCTGACCAAGACTCTGAGCATAGACTTTATTCTTCGTTCAAACACAAGAACTTTCATATTTTAGAAGTTGTGACATTTTCTTTCAGTGTTAGCGTCACCTGGCTGTTAGTCTGGTTTAAACTAACTAACCTGGCTGTTAGCCTGGTTTAAACTAACTAACCTGGCTGTTAGTCTGGTTTAAAATGACTAACCTGGCTGTTAGCCTGGTTTAAAATGACTAACCTGGCTGTTAGCCTGGTTTAAAATGACTAACCTGGGTGTCAGCCTGGTTTAAACTAACTAACCTGGGTGTCAGCCTGGTTTAAAATCACTAACCTGGGTGTCAGCCTGGTTTAAACTAACTAACCTGGCTGTTAGTCTGGTTTAAAATCACTAACCTGGGTGTCAGCCTGGTTTAAACTAACTAACCTTCCTGTTAGTCTGTATTAAACTAACTAACCTTCCTGTTAGCCTGGTTTAAACTAACTAACCTGGCTGTTAGCCTGGTTTAAACTAACT